CCTAAAAATATTCCCTTCCTGCACACATTCCCTATGCAAGGTGTAATGTATCTGCTTTCTGGTGTCTCTCATTTTATTCTTCCAAACGTGATAATCTTCAGTCCAAAGTCCAATATCATGTATCCAAGGTATTAATCCACATTCTGCAAATGCAAGTCTGTATGTGCAATTTATTCTAGCTCACATTCATTTACTAGAGACTGGAATGCTTACTGATGCGAAATGCATTCAAATACACATCAGTTGATAATATTTAACAGGTAGCCTTTAGAATTGCATATTAACTCATCTATCATTAAAATCCTTGAGTTATATGTTGTGTTCAGATCCACATGCCCTGCAGTGAACTTTATGGGAAAACTAATGAACAAAAATAACCACCAAAGAAATCAAACAAAGTTAATAGTAAAAAAAATATTTCTATATCCAGATATTTCCATATGTCCTTTTGTTTCCTCTTTGATTTATAATGAACCTTAAACAGTAGTCAGTACACTAAAAGTCATGTAACCTTTAGATTGAAATATTACAGTATCACTAACTTCATATTGATTAATAAATTATAAAAATTATTACAAGATACCTCAGTTGCACATATGGACACACATGAGTAAAGTTAGAGAAGGATTTTATTTAGCATGTAGAATATATTAAACAATTATTTCCCTTTAATGTAGTAAACAATTTCCCTTCTCATTCCTTCTAAATGTTGTAAGAGTTTTCAGGGAAATATATTTCTGAAAAGAAAAAGAAAAAAAGAAGAAAGAAAAAGAAAAAGGAGAAAAAAAGGGAAACAACAACATTAAAAAAAAATTAAAACCAGCAGAATACAGGAGATTCTTACTCGTGGAAGCTCAACCATCTGCACTTCGTGCTATAACCTCATCAAGAAGAGCAAGACATGGGAGAAAACAAGTTTCCCATTACGCGAGCTACAGTGCTTTAACACACAGAAACATGTCAACTTATTTCCACAGTGACTTCCCAAAAAAAAGAAATGTTATCTGAGGGGAGGCTGTCAGCGTGAAACTAAGAAATACAGTCAGTTATTTTTCAGTATTTTTGAACATAACTCATACATTAAAGAATGTTTGAGAGATTTTGGGGTCAATGACAGGACTAGCAATATTTTATGTGGAAACTAACTGTAAGGAAACCCAATTATGTTTTTATTTTTGTGAATGTGTGAGTTCATTTAATAACAAAGGTAACATTTATTTTGCTTTGTTGAATTTCTGTTCACATATGAGAGGAAAACAGTCCACAAATTCTTACTAGTGTTTATGGAACTATACAGGAAAATGCTAAAATGCAAATACTGGACGGTTGATCTATTCTACCAGTATTCTGAGAAAGAAGACAGTATTCAGTGAAACTCGTGAGTCTAGTCTTAGTTCTGAGCCTCAAGCTCTTATTTTATGGAAGGGTCATAATATTTCCCTCTCTCAAAAGGTGTTCTATTGATTATGACTTGAAAGTGTCTCCACACATTGCTGAAAAGGCTCACATCCTACACTGTTTGCCACACCTCTTTTCTCGTCTCTTTTTCTGGGATGCTCCTGCTCCTGACACCAGCTCTGCTGTTTGTTTCACCGCACATTGAGGTGGTCAGAGAGATACTCCTCTGGACCAGCACCACTCTGCAGCTCAGTCACAGCTGAGGTGGGGAGAGGCGTCAGCAGAGAATATGGTGTCACAACTGTTAACCCATTGTTATTCAGAAAGTCCTAAGTACAAAGAAAGTAAATCTTTACAAAGGTAGAAATACTTAGCTTGTTTTCTTTCTAACTAGAAAAGTTGCTTAAGTAATTCTTGGAGGAGCAAACAATCCAAAAGGTAAGAAAGGTGAAAATGGGATGTTCCTTAGATAAAGGACAAAATAATTTTGGAGGAAATGCTTTGAGTCGTACTCCAATCAGGCAAAGGTCATGGAACAGAAGCCTTAGAACAGCAATATTTGTTATATAGTGTCGCTGATAATGTCGGAACGGCCAAAGCGACACGAAAAAAAGTTCCAGCAAAGTTTATTCCAAGAAAAAAGCAGGGACTCTGGGGCTGCTTTCGCAGCCCCTTAAGTACAGTTCTTGCACACACGTAATTCACACGGTTAGGACAGTTCCAGTTCAAACTTTCACACCAGAATTCTTACAGCTAATAGGTGCATTTTCTAAACTCTACTTTCTCACAACAACTTTGCTCTTTCTCAAAACAGCCCAGTTCTTTCCCACAACAGTCCCGAGCACCTGCTCTTATTTTTCTCTCATGTTGATGTTTTTCCCAACTACTCTCGTTCAAAGCAGGTCCTTGTTCTCATGAGACAGTGCTCCTGTTTTCATCAGACAGTGTTCTCTGTTCCCACGGGACAGCTTCTTCAGGATGCATCAGTATGTTGTCAGGATCAGGGCCTCCATTTTCAGTCCTCTCTTTTCAGGCCATCTCAGGGGTATACTTTGATCTGGTCAACATCTATTGCTTCGTCAGTATGTGCCAAGGTGCTAACAGACCCGCTGTCACCCCTGACAATATAGGAATAAGCAATGTCGCGTATCTCTTCTTGTAGTTAAAATAGCACTGAGTAATTAATGCTTCAACACCACCTTGCTACCATACAGAGCATGGCATGGTTACAGTGCAGATCACTGGGGGCTGGGTGGCAGCTCTGCCAGTTTGATTAAAACAGTCAGAGTAAATTTGAGACTTTTGAGGGCAGCTCTGTTCTGAGAGTGGTGCACGACCACTCTCTTATCTATAACTGTCAACATAATGTCTGAAAGTTTTTCTAGCTTGGTTCTTTTTGTCCTCGGCTCATATTTGTTCAGGGACAGCGAGTAGAGCCATATCAAGGGTTTGGGATGAAGCCAGACAGAACTTGATTAACTCACTTGCCTCTATAGTAATTATCATAAGACTAATGCATTAATTAGCGTTTTAGAAGACAGAAAGAGTTGAGATATTTTTCAGTTCATCCTAGAAAAATGAATTCATGTTTAGCTTTTGCCAACTTCAGCTTGTGTATTAGCCTATGCTTTAGCCAAACCCTTTGGTTTAAACAAATGCAATAGTACTGACAGGATGCTTTCTGGATGTGTGTTTGTGTGCCAGCACAACAATGCAAGGTCAGGCTTTCATCTTTATGTAAGAAACTTCTAAGAGTCATGGTAAAGGCCCCACTACCATATTTTACTTAAGAAGGGAAAAACATCAATTCTGACCATCTACTTGGTTTTTAAACAATTTAATTTCATACATAAAGTAAAATATCAAAAGATAATAGCATTTTGAATGTTTTTCCCAGATTTCTCCGTAACACCTTGCCTTGTTGAAGCAGAAAGCTAACAGCTAAGTACTCCTAGTTTACAGAGGCAGAGAGAAGTTCTGAACTCCACCTGAATCACAACAGGAAAATGGAAATAGAACTCTGGGGCATGGAAATCAGTTTCTGAATGATACAGGCATAGACAGACTGATATGAAATAAGAATCTCAATTCTCTTTTTATTAAAGCAAAACAGAAACCTTACAGGGAAGGGTAACTTCTGACCCCTCAGTATGTGTTGATTCAAGATCTATGTTAGGTTCTTTCTCATCATAGTTCCCTGCAATGTAGTCCTTTATGACATTACAACCTTTTTAATTTAGATTAAAAACCCACATCTGTCTCAAGGTCTAGAGACTTTTCAGGCAAGATTCTGACTTTGAGCCATTATTGACATAATGTTTACTTCAATACATAGCATTCAAAGGATTCTACATGGTCATACTCATCATTCATAATGAAAATCACATAAGCCTGTGACAGTATGATATGGTCTACCTAAAAATATTTTAACTCCTTTCCAGTTACAAGGTACAAACTTGTGTGGTCCGCACATGTTCAATAGATTGAACTGCTAAGGAATATGGAATATGTTTTGCAAATAGATATACCTGGAAAACAACTATAGAAGTTTTCATGAAACTCTCCTCTTCATGTATTGCAGAAGTTTTGATGAAAATAATTGCAGTACTCTAAGAAGATCTACTTAAAGGATAGGCAAGGAAATTCAGGGCTTGCCTGAAACTTGGAATACCTTAGTCTCATCTCTTGTCACTCCCATAAAACATCTCAGCAATCTCAAAGACTAGGCCTTTTGTCTCTGTATTTCCATACCTTCCCTTATAAAGAGGTGTAAAGAGGATTTTTTTTCCTACTCATGGACACACTAGTGATAAAACTATTCAAAGATTTCAACAGTTAGATATCTTAACTGAATCTTAGATATCTTAACTGCTAGGGTAATGAGTTTGTAGTAGATCAACATGTATTTTGGCCAACTTAAAATTTTCAAGAAACTTTCTAGGGTCTTGAATTTAAAAAGATTTAAAGACACAACATCTAGGTGAATATTTAGAACATAGCTTGACCTCACTTAACATCCCACACCTGACATCCTTCCCAACAGCCAATGAGCAGGCATATTAGGCATAAAAATACAAGCTTCAGACAATTTGTCCTTTAGTTCTCTGTAATGGGTTTGTTGCTCTCCTTGAGAAGGAAACAAAGATAGGATAGGTCTTTTGATGTGTATTTTACCAATAAGGGTATTCCATATCATGTTACGTCAGCTCAGATGTAAAATAGACGGGAAGTAAGCAAGTGACCCTTCTCTTCTGGGTAGCTGAGTAGAGCGGTCGGGCAGTTCCTTTGGGGGAGAAGAGCATTGGTTTTGGGGAATTATCTTTATTTTTAGTTCTTCTCTGCGCATATAGTGTTCATAACATCTTCCCTCTTTTTTTGTGAATATAAATACCCTTTCTTAGCAGCTTTGATTCAGTTCTGGGGTTTTTTTCCCCTTCTTTTCCCCCCTCCCCCACTTCCCCTTCCCTCTGGAGGGACTGGGAGCAGGCCCAGTAGACACCTGGTATTCAGCCAAAGTAAGCAATAACACTCCCCATTTTTCAAAATTTTTGCAGGTCTTTGATTGTATGCACTTTGGTAGCCTGATGGAATTTGTGCTTAACTCTCTACAATTAATGCAATTATGCTTATACTACCTTTTTAGAAAAAGTTATAGAAGCACTTATAGTGGAAGATATAATTACACTTTTTCGCTTTAAATTATCTTTCTTAGATAATTTAAAATATATTTACCTCTTAATTAATTTTAAATGCTCCCTAGTGTGTTACAATACTGTTCTTAAAACAGGTCATATATTGAGCATGTATGTCTTCATTTGTGAGTAAAATGGAAAAAGAAAGAAAACAATATGCTGGTTTAAAAGTAAACTGGCTGGATAAATGAATCCAACTCAAGAGAGATTACAAGCCAGAGTTACAATTCACTAAAAAAGATTACAGTAAATGCAATGATACAGAGACAACTGGTTTTCACCCCCAAAACTGGATATATAACCCAGTACCCTGGGACAAGAACAGAACAGTGTTTGTTAGCCCCTGTGCTGAGTACCCCATGCCCCCCCTGGGTGCAAAGTGAAAGGAAAGGAAAAACCTGTTGGTCCAGATGACGATAACAGTTCTGTTGAAATAATGATTGCAGTGTTGTCGAGAGTGGCACAGTCCTGTTGAAATTCTGGTCCTCTTCTGGATCTGACAAGTGGTACCAGAAGTCCTAAACCCCCAAGATTATATATGCTCAGGTTCCGGTGGGAATGTCCAGTACCTACCCCAGAATGGGGAGTTTCACAATGGGTGATTTAACTCTGTGAGTCAGAGGGTATTTTTGGAATCTTTCGTGGTCTAGGTCATTGCAGCTACCTGTTATACCAGTCCAGTATGGCCCATTAGCAGAGATGACCCCTCAGGCTGGGTGTGAAGGTGCTAATGCCTCCTCAGAGGCATTACCGCAGCTGAGTCATTGGTGCGAAGACAAAGAAACACTCCTTGCAGAGTTCTCTAACACCCAGCTTGTAGCCTGAGGTGTGGCCCGGGCAGCTACTGCAAATGATCCGTTATTAACAGTCCATCAGAAATGACAGAGACGGTGTAGAATACACAGTTTTGGTTATACCCACATAGTGATAAACTGGTCCTGGTCCCTGTAACTAGGACAAACAATCGGAGATATTTTGGCAAAGTGTAAGTGAAAGAAAAGTGTTTAGTTCCATACCATGTCAGTCTGGTACAGAGTGAGATCATCCCAAGGACTGAGACAAAGATACCTGGTACTCCAGAAAAAGGTGATTTACTATGGAATTAGGCAGACCGCTCTAGTACATTCCTAGAAGTGTTAAAGTCCTAAACTGACGTGTCTCATAGTAAAGCAACAAAATGCTGAGGATCCAGAATCCTCTTTACAACATTGCTTCTCTAGTATTTTTCTAAACCCTGCAGCTAGTGCAAAATGCAGGCAACCTTAGCAACACCATTTCTATGATATCCTGATGATTGTACAGGCTAAAAAGAAGCTGACCCAGATGTGCTTCTCTCACAAGTTAGTTCCATTTAGAGAAGCTCAAACACCAGTATAAATAAATACACACAGGGAAAAGCAGGCATTCTTACCTTTTCAACAATTTACAACATACTGTACACTCAAATTTTTTAGAAGTCAGACCTACTAACTAATAGCAATACTTAGAAGGAAAGGTTGATGTTTTCTCTTTTTCTCTAAAAGCATCCTTAAAGATAAAAGTGGTACTTTTCACCACTTTAGATGCAGGAAAACTGAAGATGAGTGCAGCAAAATCTGCTGTGGAACACAACACAAGTGGTGTGTGGCTGCCCTTGGTATACAGCTTTGCTCTGTTTTCCTCATTCCTAATCCCACGTATTCATCCCATGCTAAGGACATATCACACTGCTGATGAGTGTAGAGGCAGACATGCCTCCCACAGGATGCTGAAAGACAAGTGCTGACTGCTGCCCACTGCACTATGGCTTTACTACAGGGTTGTCTCATATGCAACTCCCCTCCACCCCTCCACACCCATTTCACCTGGTGCTGTAAAGCCTTCATTTTCCTTGTTTAATAATTTCTAGCCTAGAATAAACAATTAATTACTGAGCATCTCTGCATGCTTTTTGATTATAAAGAAGTATACTATAAACAAGATGAAATTCTTCTTGGAAGTAACTCCATAAATATGTGCTATGCATTATTGTGGTGGTACTCCAAGTTGACAAATTGCCAGAAATGAACTAGTTGACTTCAAGAGCCAATATTAATTTTATGTCAGCTGGACATGGATGCCAACTTAGTCAATATGAATTATGTAGTGCAGAAAATTAGAAACTGGCAATATTAAATTATTTATCCCTATTGATCATTATTGATGATTATTTGATTATTTATCACTAAAATGTCATAGGCTAATCATTCCATCACCCAAAAAAACCCCCCAAATTTTCATTGACTTGATATGATTCATCACCCATGTTGATACAAAATCCATGAATGTCTACAACCAGCAAAACTGAAATGTTAAGGTAATTATTTGTTGTGTGATGTGTCTTTGGAGAATCAGGTCTTTCAGAGGACTTTAGCTGAGTAAAAAGGCCTCTTCCTGACTAGCAGAAAAAAAAAAAAAAAGAGTTGAACAGTGAGCTCTGTTTTGCAGCACATTTTACCTACACTGCAGAAATTGCAGAATATCAGCACTTCAAAATTACAAACATGTGCCGCACCTGGTTCCTGAACAAACAGAACACAACATGGGACTCTTCCTTGATGACTTATTTTTGATGAAATCATTGAGCCAAGGCAGAAAGCTTGAATTACAAAAGCAGCAGTTTGAATAGGTCTGCTTATTCCTGCTTCAATTACCTTTTCTTAGTGAAGGCTGCTTATTTTATCAATAGCTCTGTCAACATTTTAAAATCTCCTCAGAGTAATTGAGACTGTTAAATGTAAATAAGCCACCTGCCTTCAAAGATCAAAACAAGATTTATTTTTTTATTTATTTAAAGTGATAAAGACTGGGCCCTGCATACAGATAACAAAACACTCCCTGTCTCTTTCTTTAATCTCTGTTTCCAATAATTCAGATAGTGTTCTAACTGAAAACTTCTACTGGACAAATACATTACAGCAAAGGAACTTAACAATGCATGTGCTTACCCACATAACATACCCAAAGAGTTCACTGCAGTACAAGGGATCTCTAGGAAAGCCATGACATGGTCTTATCAAATAAGATGGCAATATCAAAGACCCCCTTTTCAAGCAATGTGTCAATATTACAAGGAAGATATTGCCATTCATAATTTCCATGGAAGACAGGTCCTCCTTTGTCACTGGTGTTGTGCAGTCAGTATCTACCTTTATGCTCAGAGCTGGTTGAAGATTATGAAACACGGGGTCCAACACAAAGCAACCTCTACTGGAGTGTAAAGCTATTTGAGTGACAGAAATGCTCATGTATGGTTTTGGTTTGGGTGAATGATATCAAGCTCCTCCTTCCTTCCCTCTCAACGTTTTTTGCTGCCATAAGAGTAAATACAGATTCTAACAGAAAAAAGTATGACAGACTCATTTGCATAAATATCCTTGTCATTTTAACCTTGTGCTCTCAGAGCCTGTCAAGCCTTATTATCCTGCTGCCTCCTTTGAGGCTTTCTCACATCTACCCTCATCTCTAGCTTTCCTGAGCAGGCAAGAGGAATAGATTTTAGTGCACATTTCACAAGCCAAAATTGACTTCTGAATTCTCCAGAACTCTGCACATTTTATACAGATCGGTGCTTGACTATGATTTATCTGCAAAAGAACTAAAAGTTTATTTTCACTTTTCATTGTCTTAGGATGTACAGCATAAAGCAAATATATATAAACTTTTTAAGTCTGAGGTGATTCACCTGGCTTACTACATCAACAGTACATTTCACAATGTGGATATGAGGAATTTCCTACTCTCAGAGTAGGAAATAGCTCAGAGTCTCAAAGCTGCTCTCACAGCTGCCATTGGGAGCTTTGCCATTGACTTCACTAGGGACAAGTTCATTTTTTATATTTGTAATAAAAACATCCATAAGAAACAATTTACTATCTTTTTAAAAGTCCTTTTGTTACCTTTAATACAAATGAAATCGCTTATATTAACTATATTCCAGTGGAATTGACTATATAATTTTAATTATCTCCCAGATGCCAACACTTTCTACCATACTTGTTTTAAAGTTTTTCTAAGAACACAACTCCCAGAGCATTCCTTTCAAACCCATGCTTCTTAAGTAGCAAGTTTTTGGTTTCGAGGCATATATTCCCTGTTATTTTTCAAGTTTTATTTCCACTGATATTGTTCAGACTAAAATTTGAGATTTGATGGCAACACGTATTCCTATACATCTGTGTCAAACATATTCCTTTTTCATATGCAACACAATTGAGATTATAGCATAATGACAGGCAAACAAGCCTTACATGTTGCTCACAAGCATTGGAAACACAAGCAACAATACAACTATCCTTAGATCAGTGAGTATGATTTGAAATGGAGATTTTGATATTTATAGCATCCCACATGATTTGGGACATGTTTAAGCAATGTAGGAGCATTTTATGTAAGTTAAGTAGAAATGATGCAGAAGATGATATAGTGTAATAGAAACTGTATTTTATTATATCAAACAGTTTCTAACAGGCTACTCTGTGTAAACATTATGGATCAATTTAGGTGAGCAGATCAGTCAATGCAGAAGAGGCTCTTGAAAGAAAAATGAGCAGATGGTTCACTGGCACGTAATACATCTCTATCTTCTCATCTCATGCTGATGAGAGATTGGGAGAGGGAGATTTAGAAAAGAAAAAAATGTTTTGAAGGAAACCAAGTGCACAGATGGGAATTTCAATTGAAACTACATGCAATCTGGTTAAGGGCTTCCATTTGACTCCAACTTTTCATAATGGAGATACCTACCCTAACTCATGACCTGTAGCGTGACAAGAGTAAAATATACTGAGATTGGAAATTAATCTCATTCTCTGAGGTTGTTCCCTGTGTTTTGAAGCATTGTTTTGAAGATAATGGCAAGGGTATAGTATGGCAATTAGGCACATGCCATACACAGAATCTGAGCCATTTGTAAATTATCACAAAACCAGTCTGAGTTGCTATCATGTCCAACCACCAGAAAACAGTGATTACGGTAAAAAATTGTGACCTCTGAACTACTCATACTGTTCCTAATTACATGCATATTACTTTCAGAGACATAATCATAGGTTGACTATTTGATGTCGAATTTTGCCCCAAAAGGTGCAGAGAAACTGCTCAAAGTTTTAGTCTTTAAGCAGAGAGGTATTTATTCAAGGCAATGTTGGAGAGCAGCCAGCTCACGCTGGACAAACTACTCTGCCTTTTCAGTGAAAAGACAGGATTATATACAATTTCTACAAGTGATTACAACATCTTCACATGCATATTCATATAATTGCAACATCTAGTTATAATATTCATAATAGGCAGAGTCTGGGGCGGAGTTGTCTTTTTGGGATGATGTTTGGTGGTCGTTCCTGTTTCTTCAGCCTCACGGGGTCGCATTCTACTCTTCTTCCTCAGCTGAACTTTTCAACTTTCTTGTTTTTTGCTGCCTTTATGGTGAATTTTGCAAGACTTTTGGACTCCAGCCCCTATTTTGCCCCTTATCTTTACTTATGTAGGTGTGTGAGCATTCTTTTAGTGTACGGTACCATCTAATCCTTAAACTCTTGTTTTTATCTCTACCTAAGCAGTACATTCTAGCTAAGCATTGCATTCTTCTGAGCAGGAGATTCCTTGGATCAGTATTCAGGCCCTAGCTCCGTTTCATATTGATATTACAAAGATGAAGAGAACAAGAGAAGAAGAGTGATATGTGTATGAGAAATACAAAATCTAGCCAGATTTAAAGGTGAAAACTTTAAAGTCTGCACTGACTTGCCTTGATAAAGTATTTGACTGTTGACTACAGTCTATTTTGTTACAGTTTCATTGACTGATGACTACAGTCTATTTTGTTACAGTTTCATTGAAACATTATGGTTTTCTATTTTGTTTTTTTTCCCTCAACTTACACATTTAACTAGGAGAAAGAGATAAAAATTCTAACTTTGTCCCATGAATGTGGAATTTTTCTATGGATGAGTATCAAGTCTCAAATATCAGTTTTAGCTGGAAACTGTTCTAGTAGATGTTTTTAACTGCTTTTTTGAGATAATGACATAGAAACATAAGTTTTGGATCCAAAACTTTTCTAGTAGGGAAAAAACAAATATTTGGTGATATCCAATTACTTTTTTAGAAACCAGTGGAATTATAGTTAACAATTTCTTATCCATTTCCCAATCCTGAAATATTTCTTTCTATAGAGAGATGGTATGCCCAAGAGGACTTACAGCAGAAGAGGTTTGAGAGATGTATTAAAAATGTAAATGCTCATTTGAATTAGATAAAAACAACAGCAGCCTAAGTCTTCAAATCAGACCTTCAGCCTGATTTACAAGATCTTTTTGAAATGGATGAACAAAAAGGTAATAACTAAATTTCCCTTTAATCACCAACATTCAAACTTTAAACCTTAATACACCTATTCAGGTACTGTCCCAGAAACATTTAGATATATTTCCCTGAGACTCAAGTTTTGTAATGTCTCAAGGCAGACACGCTGCTCTCAAAGTGCATGAATATCATCCTCCAAACACATTAAGCTACCCTACTCCTCCAGCTCAGGTAGAATTCAGAATTCATTGATTAAGTCAGAAAGGTCATTGGACATCTGCAGACCATGAGCTGGTGCGCACACTCTCATAGGGTAACCAGCTTTCCCGACCTCCTGACCTGCAGGCTAATATTTTTGCATAGCCAAGAACCACAAAATGTCCCCACTGCAAGCCTCAGAGAATGAGAGTTTTGGGGTGATCTCACTAGAGGAGTCAGTACTCCATTGCTGGTGGAAAGGGGAGGTATAATTTGGGCTCTGCAGCCTTATTGCCTGTTCTGGGCTGGGATTTAAGATTTACTGGGTTCTAAATTCTGTGAACTAAGTCTGCTATGACAGCTGTTTTTTGGCTGTGGATGTACAAGTTTAGCTTAGTAGTTATTGGTCCTGAGTGAAAAACTTTAAAAGTTAGCCCTACTTCTCTGCCACTGATGCTCTGTTGCCCTCAGTCTCTCCCACATTCACACAGAGTTAGGAAAAGCTGCTTGTGTCATCAATTACAGCTCTGGCACTGCAGCACTCCTGAAAACATACCACTACCACTCAATATATAGTTCAAAATTCCTTTGGAGCAACTCAGAGAGTTTCAGATATCATCAGGCTATCTAATACACATCTCTAAAACAAAGACTCATCAAAAAACAAAAGATTCATCAAAAACAAAGATTCATCAAAACAAAAAATTTGATTCATCTGCATCAGTGCTTAGCCACCAAGTGAGAATTACTCTCTCCCTAGAAATAATTACTTTTCCCCTCTTTCTTCTGAATACATAACTATCTGCACAGAATCTAAGAGTTTCAGCAGGAGAACCTCATGCACACTGGTCTATCAGCAGGTGATCTGTAACCAAAGGTGAAATATCCTGGCTGTCAACACTGAGGGAAAGGAGGCATCCCACTCCAGATTGCACTTGGCTGCTCAAGTCCCACTTTTACTTTACAATCTTTCACTAGTTATTTCAGGCAAGTCCCTCATAGGGAACACAGATGTGTAGTTTGGGTTTGGAGGTTATGTGCCATAGTGGGGTTGGTACAGCTTTGGCATATATCCAAAGGTTTCAACCACTGAAAGAAACTGGAGCTGTGAATAACTATTCAGGGAGAATGCAATTTAATCATCAGAGTGTCAGCTCTAGGAAATTCCCTCTATGTAACAGTGAAACTCAAGGACTGTGTTTCCTCACTACAGAAGAGTAGAGAGAGTTTGTACTGTGAAAAAAGTTTCACATCATTATCTATATGTGCATAAGGCAAGGTCAACTGAGAGTGCAGAACAGTAACAAAAACAATATAAAAACCTCCTCTTTGACCTAATGAGTGGCTAAGACAGTAGATATTTTTGAATAAAATGTGTTTGGCCTGAGTATGCACATAGAAACAGCTTTTTAATTTATCATACCAAGTGGAGATACAGCAAGCCTTGCTGAAGGGCCAGATGGCTTGGGTTCTTAATTGGTATATGCAATTTGTTATTCTTGCAGAATAGATCATTCTCATCTTCACATAATGGGTTACTTTTCCTCAAGTTTCACATTAAGTTATTGGGAACAGGTAGTGAGACTACAGTTACTGTAGGTTTCTCATTTTATTTATCACTATCTTCATTTCAAAAATTCTATAACAAACAGTTTGTCTGGCCTAGAAGAAGTAGGTATTCTTAGGCATTTTTCTTACTCTGGATACTCCAGGGAGTAAGGGAGAAGCTATCTTTCAGGGGGTAGGAAAAAAAAGATATTGCGTCCATAACTTACTCTATTTCCACCTCTGAGCAGACTGGAAAACATCTCTGGAAAGAGTTTCTAACAAGAAAGAACAGGAAACTTAATCTAAACATTCACTGCAGAACAAGTCGTATTCTGCATCTGGGAACCCAGGAAGCTGCATTTTCTGAATCAACTGGCTCTGAAGAATAATAGATCTTTCAAATGTTTTCTAATTTAGGATCATTAGTTTTTTGGTTTTCTGGGCTTGGAATTTATGTATAAGGTAAGAAACCGTAAGAAGAATAATTCTGCAGGCAGGCTGTATCGAAAGTGGTAAGCAGGATCACACTTAAACTCATGAGAAAACTTGTATTTGATGACCATCCACATTGTAAACCTCACACTGGTGGCAACTCCTTGCATATAGTTCCTAGCCTACCAGGACAGTCAAAGTGTTTAGAGATTAACTATACCACTGATGACAAAAAGCCACTCGTCTGCCAGCAGATATACTGCCATTTCTCGCTTCTTTCTTGCCTTTCTTTGCTGTTATTTCAGAGAAGTCTTCAGAAGATAATATACCCAGTAGTAGATGTCTGGTTCTCATGGAAGAAGGGAACTTGGAATATTGTTTGGCATTTTGCCCAATAAACAATAAGCCCAGGTACAGTGCCTTGAGTGTCAACTGCAAATGTGGAGTAGTGAAACATAAGTAATGGACAGTACTAGTGTAGATGCACAGACTCAGACATCTAAGAAAATCTGTCTGTACAAGCCCAATGCACATGAAAGTCAGCAGAAGCCTTACATTAAATTCAGTATACTAAAGATGGGGATTTTGTTGTTGATGATGGTGGTCAAGTAGCTTGCACTTTTGCTCTACCGGTGCACCGATAAGATTCATTCTTTGGCTTCCCTCTAACGAGATCTTCTAGGTGAAACATCCGCTTTCACATTCCATTTTTTCTCATCCCAGAAGCAATATCCTATTGCTGAAGGTATCTCTGAAAATATTAATAATTCCTATATACACTGAGGAATATCGTAAATAAACTTTGTAGTGAGGACATTCTTAATGTATAACAGTAGTGCTACCTTAGGACAGGCATATATTAGTATATCATATTAATTTCTAAAACAGCATACAGAATGGGTCACCCTTATGCTGAGAGTCTTATATTAGGATCTTACTAGACTTCCACTGTAGAAGAAAACAGAAGGTTAACGCTCCATGGTTTTTTGTTTGATTTTAATAGCAAAAACAAGTTTGTCCTAATTGGAGTAAAGGAATATGAAGAAATGAGAGCAAAAGTACAGGAACTTATAGGTTAAGTAGAATAAATTATTGTTTGCTTTGGTGTCTGCTTTTTCTTCCATACTAGGAAGAATAGGCTAAATAAAAAGGAATAGTAAGAAAATGAAAACCATAATATGCTCATATGCTGATATAAAAACCAGGTATTTATTATTCCTACTTGGATCTTAATGATCCCATTGTTCCATAGAAAGAGAGTTTTTAGTTTAAACCATTTTCATATACTCTTCAAATACTTCAAAAGGAAACATTCTTTACTTGAGCTTAAATGTTCTTTTCAAACAGCTAAATGGCATGACACTTTTGGTTATCTTTACAGCCTCTTTCATGGAGAGCTGTTTTGTTCTATTCAGTTTAGCAAGATAGTATATATGCAACTATCTCTGATAGTTCCTTTAACAGCGAACCATCCAATTCCCAAATTGCTTCTTCCTCTTTTCTCACAAGGCCACAACATTGTGCATGCAGATGGTGGCAGGCTACAGATAAGCCAAGACACAGTAGCACTCCAGATTTTCTGCAACCCACATTTTCCTTATGCAACAACAATGGAAGTCTTTGCATGTTTTCTATTGCAACAATAAGAAAAAATTCTGATCCAATATTAGAAAATTTCTTTTGTATACAGATGCAGAAAACCTAACAGATAGACAAGTTGAACTGAAATAGATCTACTCTTATCGGAAAAGAAATGCTGACACAAAATATGAGATCTAGATTAATGAGATCTCATCGAGCTCTAAATATTGATATGAATCCTAATACAGAATGGTGGTTCCTGGAGGTACTGTTCAGTTCCTGACATACCTTGGAGCTTGACTTTAAAGAGCCAAATACGTTTAATCTCAACATTTATCCTGGTCATGCCCTACACATATCATCATCTTGGCTTTTACACAGACGCATTCTCAATGTATCATTTTATTGTTAAAACCTCTCACACAGGGGTAGTATACCTGCAATGGGGATACTTTATTGCAACTAGTCAGACCTTCAGTACAAAACTACCAAAATATTTTGCAGATTCAGTAAGATAGAAGATTGAATGGTTTAGCTAGTCCATATTCTTCAAAACACCGTTTCCTGGAAAAGGTAAAATATTCCTTGCAAAAAGGTTTCGGAATGTTTCACAAAAGTTTTGTTGAGACACCATGGTGGCCTACAGAAAAGAGTCAGCAAATGAAAGTGGACATGACAAAGAATGTACAGTATCCTTAATTTCCCTCTCCCACACACATAGTATAAACTTTTTGTGGATATTAACTTGGTTGGCACATTTTTTATTTTTTTTTCTCTCCATTGTACCTTTGTTCTAATCATTTTTAGAGCCTCAAATCTGTCTAAGCATAGATATTTTACTGTATTTATATTGCAGGGTTAATGGGTGTTCTTAAAAGTATATTTAAGCAAGCTAAGCCCCACAGCCAGTGCCTGTCATTATTATTGTTGCTAGATTAACTTGGACTGGGCTTCATGTGTCCCTGTTGTTCTTACAGGGATACAAGATCAAAAACTCATTGACAGGTTAAGGTTTACTATGAGGGTGGTGAGACACTGGAACATGTTGACAAGGGAAGCTGTGGGTGCCCCATTCATGGAAGTATTCAAAACCATGCTGAATGAGACTGAGAAACCTGTTCTACTGGAAGACAATCCTGCACAAGGTAAGGGGCTTGGAACTAGGTGATATTTAAGGTTCATTCCAAACCATTCTATGATTCTACGAAAAAGCCTTAATTGTGCTATACTCAACAGGACTCATTCTAGACTCAAAGCATGCTCAAACCTTCCCTCCCTGGTGCTTCTGAGCATGTGTTAAAGAATTTTATATACAAGTATTTATATACAAGTATTTAGAAATTTGTATGTGTGTATATATGCATGTGTGTACGTTTCTATAAGAAAATGTGCGTTCATGTGAATAAATAATGCAGATAATAGATCAGATAGATATGTGAAGATAATGAACTCAGTAACATGTTCTGTCTTTGATTCAACTCTACACATTGTGAGAACACCTTCAGAAAAAAAGGTGGACAGTAAATTCTTCTTCTGGCTTGTATATTTTAAGCCTTAAAAATGTTACCTACCTTAGTTCCTTAATTCCAGAAACATGAAGCTTTAGACAGTATAGTTGTTGTTCTCTGGTAAAATGAATATTTTTTACCATAGGGTCTTAGACTTTTAGCAACATTTCCACCCTTTATTCTTAGGAGTTGCAATATTTATTTGTATCACAAATAGCACAGTTAAAGATGAGATACTCAATGCCTGCTTTGCCTCAGTCTTTACCAAAAAAAGTCTCTGAGGCCTTTCTGCCTAGAGATAATGTTCATGGAAGAGACAACCTACTGGGTGTGGAAAAGGATCGAGTCAGGGGTTGCTCAATAAATCTCAACCTCTGCAAGTCCATGGCACCTAATGAGATGTATCTGGGGGTGCTGAGAAAGCTGACCAATGTCACCGTGACACTCTATCATCTTTGAAAGATCATTTAATGAGG